ATTTGGGACAATTTTTTTGATGATTTATAAAACCGATTTTTAGTAAAAAAATTTCTAATTAATCAAATTTTGATATAAAAAAATATTTTAGAAAGTAAAAAAAAGTTGCCTTAAATAAAGTATAAATTTAACAAAGCTAGTTAAGAACTTATTTAGTGTTGCCCTAAAAATTATTTTAGAAACAACACTACTTATTAAATTTATCAACCATTATCCCCAATAAAATATAGTTAACAAACTTTAACTATCTGGTACATCCAGCTTAAACCCTAGATCGCTCGCTAGCTCGCTCGCGACTTCAGAAAACAAGGGAGGTCGACTTGAGCCCCTTCAGAGGTAGATTTATTTGTCATCTTGATTCGATGAGATGGAAAAATTGTCTCGAGTCACGACATGGTGGGAACTAGATTGGCTGTGGCGCAGAGGACACTGGATATGTTCAATTTGCTGCGCGATAGGTGAAAAATGTCTTTTTGAGCTTCGTTCTAACGTTTTTTTTTTTAGGAAGCATAGGCTTATATATGATTACTGCCGAGAGGCAGGAACTCGGAGCGAATGACGGCTAAAGATTCAAGAGTTTGGATGACGCATCTTGGCTGTATGGTGGAGAGGATGTTCGAAGCAGATAGCTTAATTCTTGCAAGAATTTCTTGTTTATTTGCTTCCAGGCGTTGGTTTCTTGCAGCGAATCTCATATTATTAACGTGAAGAATGATGCTGATTCAATAAGTAGTGTTGGATCCAAATTTGTCAGTTGGAAAACAGGCCGAGAGAGCTTACTCGAATATGTCAACCATGTGAAGGTCTTAAGAGTACCTTGGGCGAGTACTCTCTATGATAAGGCCGAAGCAACTTTATCCAATGGGTAATAGGAGTGAATGCCTGAGGTCTGTTGTTTCTTGAATACCCTTGTAGAGTAAATGTCGTATTAAGCTATATTTTAACTTGATATGTACTTTGTTCTAGGGTAATTTGTGGATTTTTATGTGTAATTTGTGTTTGATTGCTGATTAGATGAAAATCTATGGCCATTTGATTATTTGGAATGATTCAAAGATGTTAGACTTTGAATAGAGCAACGAGCGCTTTGGTGCCATATCTTGGTGCTGGCGATTGAGTCTAGAGATCATGCACAGATAACCTAGCACTTAGGTGCTACTTGAAAGTGTGCATATTACATTCAATTTCAAAAGCAAAAGGACATAAGTAGGCTTATTGCGACCTTCCTTCAACAAAATTAAAAAAAAGAAGAAGGAAGATCATTTTCATTTGTACATTGCCAATCAAAACTACAATGTTACGCATCTTAGCACAAAAGCTAGCAACTTTATTTCCTTGTGTATGAGTGTGGTGGAAGATGACTTGTGGGGATTGAGTTGGGATGGTTAGATCAGACCTTTATGCTGTTGACGTTGCTAAAAGGCCTTCGTCATGGTATCTTGAAAGATAGAAATTATATTAGTAGACCTGTCAAAAACGGGTCACGGGTCGGGTTCGGG